CTCAGCACGGCACGGCACAGCGCAGCTCAGCACAGCTTACCGCAACACAACACAGCACAGCACAGCACACAACACAGCACAGCACAGGCGTGGCACAGGCGTGGCACGCATGGCATTTCCTCGACACCACAGGGGGGGAGCTGTGGGTGGGGACGCTATCCGTTTCGGGCTCGCAAAGCGTGGCAGGCGTGGCACTTCCTCGACACCACAGGGGGGGAGCTGCGGGTGGGGGCGCTATCCGTTTCGGGGTCGCAAAGCGTGGCAGACACAGCAGGCGCGGCACATTCTCGACACCACAGGGGTTGTGCAGGGGGTGGTCTGTCACCGCGTCCGCTTTGCACGACGGTCGTCCAAGCACAGCACGCGTGGCACTTTCTCGACACCACAGGGGGTGCGCAGGTGGTGGTCTCCCACCGCGGCCGCTATGCACGACGGTCGTCCAGGCACAGCAGGCGCGGCACATTCTCGACACCACAGGGGGTGCGCAAGGGGTGGTCTCCCACCGCGGCCGCTATGCCCGACGGTCGCCCAGGCACAGCAGGCGTGGCACTTTCTCGACACCACAGGGGGTGTGCAGGGGGGGTCTCTCACCGCGGCCGCTATGCACGACGGTCGTCCAGGCACAGCACGCGTGGCACTTTCTCGACACCACAGGGGGTGCGCAGGGGGTGGTCTCTCACCGCGGCCGCTATGCACGAGTGGCACATTCTCGTCCAGGCACAGCAGGCGTGGCACTTTCTCGACACCACAGGGGGTGCGCAGGGGGTGGTCCCTGAGCTCGGCCGCTATGCACGACGGTCGTCCAGGCACAGCAGGCGTGGCACTTCTCGACACCACAGGGGGTGCGCAGGGGGTGGTCTCTCACCGCGGCCGCTATGCACGACGGTCGTCCAGGCACAGCAGGCGTGGCACTTTCTCGACACCACAGGGGGTGCGCAGGGGGTGGTCTCTCAGCGCGGCCGCTATGCACGACGGTCGTCCAGGCACAGCAGGCGTGGCATTTTCTCGACACCACAGGGGGTGCGCAGGGGGTGGTCTCTGAGCCGCGGCCGCTATGCACGACGGTCGTCCAGGCACAGCAGGCGTGGCACTTTCTCGACACCACAGGGGGTGCGCAGGGAGTGGCAGCAATCACCGACGCACGAGCAGGCGTCACTTTCTCGACACCACAGGGGTGCGCAGGGGGTGGTCTCGACGACGGTCGTCCAGGCACAGCAGACAGGGGGTGCGCACTTTCACTCTCGACACCACAGGGGGTGCGCAGGGGGTGGTCTCTCACCGCGGCGCTATGCACGACGGTCGTCCAGGCACAGCAGGCGTGGCACTTTCTCGACACCACAGGGGGTGCGCAGGGGGTGGTCTCTCACCGCGGCCGCTATGCACGACGGTCGTCCAGGCACAGCAGCGTGGCACTTTCTCGACACCACAGGGGGTGCGCAGGGGGTGGTCTCTCACCGCGGCCGCTATGCACGACGTGGTCCAGGCACAGCAAGCGTGGCACTTCCTCGACACCACAGGGGCTGTGCAGGGGGTGGTCTCTCACCGCGGCCGCTATGCACAACGGTCGTCCAGGCCCAGCAGGCGTGGCACTTTCTCGACACCACAGGGGGTGCGCAGGGGGTGGTCTCTCACCGCGGCCGCTATGCACGACGTCGTCCAGGCACAGCAGGCGTGGCACTTTCTCGACACCACAGGGGGTGCGCAAGGGGTGGTCTCTCACCGCGGCCGCTATGCACGACGGTCGTCCAAGCACAGCAGGCGTGGCACTTTCTCGACACCACAGGGGGTGCGCAGGGGGTGGTCTCTCACCGCGGCCGCTACGCACGACGGTCGTCCAGGCACAGCAAGCGTGGCACTTTCTCGACACCACAGGGGGTGCGCAGGGGGTGGTCTCTCACCGCGGCCGCTATGCACGACGGTCGTCGCAGGGCCTAGCAGGCGTGGCACTTTCTCGACACCAGTGGGGGTGCGCAGGGGGTGGTCTCTCACCGCGGGCTTTATACGCGCCAATGTCGCAGGGCCCAGCAGGCGTGGCACTTTCTCGACACCAGGGGGGGTGCGCAGGGGGTGGTCTCTCACCGGGGTGGTCCCTCACCGCGGCCGCTATGCACGACGGTCGTCCAGGGCATAGCAGGCGCGGCATTTTCTCGACACCATGAAGGCTGCGCAGGGGATGGTCCCTCACCGCAGCCGCCATGCACGACGGTCGTCCAGGGCATAGCAGGCGTGGCACTTTCTCGACACCATAGAGGGGGGGGCGCAGGGGGTGGTCCTTCACCGCGGCCGCTGGCTGGCTCGAATCTGTCGTGGATGGAGGATAGAAGGCTAGGAAGAGGGAGGAGGTTCAAGCAATATGGCGTTGAATGACACAGAGGGGAACATTCGCGACGAGGACTGAGAACGCAGAATTGCGCATATATGATAAACTTCAGCAGGCACATCAGATTTAAATTAAGTATGTGGGGTTCCTCGGTAGCGTAATTAAGAAAAAATGGCGGGGTCTCTGAAGCGCATCTTGGGGGCTTATTGATGGACGCGTGGAGCATCTTGGAGCCCCTTCGTGGACCATGGATGCCTCTTGAAAACCTTACGTGGTCTCTTGTTTCGTGGACTTCTCGAAAGCCCCGCGGGTCCTCTTCGAAGCCTCTGGTGAGCTCTGGGTGCGGGCTTCCGAAAAAAATGGACAAACATTCCGACGCCGACAAGATACCATCAGAAACGGCCAGGGAAATCCAGTATCAGCCCCAGGATAATTCAACTGGTCGACAATGCAGCGCCTCCTGCTACCGCCTGCGCCGCTGCTGCTTCTGCCGCCTCCTCATGCAACACGCGCCGCTCTGCATCACGGGTCCCCAGGAAGAGGAGGACAGGGAGGAGGAGGAGAAGGACGGAGGAGACGCAGGAGAAGGAGGAGACGAAGGAGACGGAGGAGGAGGAGGAGGAGGAGAAGGAGGCGGACGAGGACAAGGAGCATGGGGGGGGAAGAACGTCCGCCTGACAGGCGAAGGACTTCCAGGATTCGAAGCTGGCCTGGCGCGCCCCCGCGAGGGGGCACAAGGCCCAGGCAGAGCTCAAAGAGCCGGCCGCCAGGATCGACAACGACGGCGGCGGGCGAGACGGCAAGGCGAAGGAAGGAGGCGGAGGAGGAGGAGGAGGAACGAGAGGGAACTTAGCTGCCCCTGCACGCAACACGCAGCACGTAACGTCACGTATTGTCGGGGATGGACAGACCTCCCTTAGTGAAACGTGGTTTAGTGAAAACGACCTGAGGCCCAAACCTGGCGGGCGCAGGCCTGGAAAATAACGGCCGCGGCGCCCTCCCGAGAGCCGAAAACGGAAAATTCACTAATCGACGTGTCACTGTTGGGGGTTCTGTCCGCCCCCGGTATTGACAGGGAGCTCAGCCCACGGAATGAAGCTCGGGCGGTCCGGCGCGATGCGTTCGCCAAAACGTGGACCAGCACGTGCCGAGCCAACACGCAGCGTGTTGACACGGACGCTTTGGAAGACGGTACGCGAGCGTTCCAACACCTAAGGGGCCCTGGGACGCACAGATAAATAAGAACAAATCCCAGGATCCCCCACACTTTCTGAGATAGCCTGGGTTTTCGTCTTCACCCCCCGCTTCCCATATTATCCCACATTTCCCTGGGAGTCGGCGATGAGTTGTGTCTGTCGCTTTTTTGTTCCCCTCCTGAAACACAGGATTATCAGGGCAGCTGAAGGGGAATGAGGATCGGGAGCGGCCAAAAGGGGGGGAGTCCAAGAGGGGGGGTGCAAATCATGACCGGCGGCATGTGCGCGGCTCAGCGGGGGGGCCAGGGACGTAATGGAATAAGAAGAGGCGCCATGAAACCTGAGGAAATATCATGGCCTCCGTCATGATAGCCCCATGCTCCCGAGAATAAACCCCCGGGGATAATAATGTTCGGCGGTTACGGGGGTGATAATAAAAGTTGCCCACCAGAGGCCAGCATAAAGATGTTAACAGAGGAGCCAAAGCCGAGGATATCTTGAGACATCCTTAGCTTTTGGTCATATCTGAAACATCCTGAAGGAACGCGCCGGCTTTTAATATTTCTAGAATACAGAACTGAAGCTCGGAGGTGCGCGCGCGCGCCTCTGAGCTTCACTTCTATATTATTCACCACTAGTAAGTCGACATCTAATTCCAAAAACGGAATTGAAAAATTCTGGAGCCCTTTACGGAGGCTGAAGGAACGCGTCGGCTTTTTATAATACGGAACTGAAGCTCTGAGTTCTATAGAGATTCCTCATGTGCCTCGTTCTCCCAGGATAATCAGCCACAGCGATAAACAAGTTCAGGGGGGCGTGGGGAGGAGAAGAAAGATAGAGAGATAAATAGAAAGATAGAAAGAGAAGAGGAGGTAGAGGAGGAAGAGTAGGAGAAGGAGGAGGAGAAAGAGCAAGAGGAGGAGAGGAGAACGAGATAGCAAACATCCAATATTTAAACTTATTATATTTAATGTGTAAACGCTTAATGAACATTAACTTGTCATCTGCTCGTGTAGGGTAGCTCACGTGCCTCGTTTTCCCAGGGTAATCAACCCCAGCGATAAACAAGTTCAGGGCACCAGAGGGAGGAGGAGGAGAAAGAGATAGAGAGAAAGAGAGAGAGAGAGACAGAGAAATAAATAAATGAAGACAGAAAGAACTGCAAATATACAGAAGGACATTGGTTTCGCTCGAGACATCCTGAGAAACGTGTTCGCTTCGCTTGGTGTTGTTATCTCAACATAAGAAGGAAGTAACCTCGATGGCGAACTTTTCCCCGTGATAATGATCGGCCTCCGCGCCCCGCGCCCCCGACCAAACTCTTATTGGCCGTGGATAATCAACCCTTATGTGTATAGGGGGGGTACATCATTCTCGTGGGCATGGGGTTATCCACCCCCCCTTAGTCATCACCCCCCTCTTTGCCGCTCCCGAGAGGAGCAGAAGCGCTCGCTCGCCTGCGCCCCTCCCCCCCCCCCTGGCTCCGGGTTGACCGCCACGGCGCGGTTGGCGGGGATCGTCCACGGCGTGGTCGTCCACACCGCGACCGCCAGCCCCGCGGGAGACACCTTCTCACGGATGGATGCGCGCAGGGAGCAGGGACGAAGGATTTCGGGGGACCCCAAAAGGGGGTCCAGCTGAAAGGAGGTGGTGCAGTAGATTTGGGGCAACTGTCTTGCAGATGCATTGCGCCGAAAGAACTGTATTGCATTGTATTGCAAGTAGTGCGCTGCACGCGAAAATCCAGCAAGTTACACTTGCGCCCCGGAATGTATTGCACGCCCCAAATGTATTGCAACCCCGCACATCTATTGCACCAAATATATTGCACCACCCCTTGTCGCTGGACCCCCCTTTTGGGTCAATCCGAAGGATGATGAGGCCTGGGATGAGCAAGAAGTACGAAAGGGGGGAAGAGGGAGCACAGCCGCGCGCGCACTCGGTACAGCAACCACGCCCTCGTCCTGGAACGCCTCTTGCTGGGGAGACGGTAAGGCATCCGAAGGGAGTGACAGCGCGAGCAGCCCAGACCGTGCAGCCGGCCAGCCAACTCCACATGCCGTCGTGCAAGCACGCCCTCTTCCTGGAACGGGTTGTGCGCGGTCGGTGGGGAGGGCGGGGCTGGGGATGGGGATGGGGATGGGGATGGAGATGAGAAGGTGGGAAGCAGAAGGGGGGTAGGAGGAGCGAGCACGGACGGATGGAGGGAGAGGGGAGGAGAGAGGGAGTGAGAGAGAAGTGGACCGAGGGAGGGGGGGAGGGATCGGAGGGGGAGGGCGGCGGGACCTAGGGAGGGAGCTGCAGGAGGGAGGAGAGAGAGGCAAGCTAGGTGCGCTGGCGCCACGTCTGACATCCTACCCATCCCTCCCATCCCCTATCCTCGCGCTGATTTGTTTTCTAGCTGCCAACGAGTGTCCGAACGGACATGGAAGGCTCAACAAGGACCCCATCGTGTGAAGCGCCACTTGAAAAGGGCAGCTGTGTACACTGGACGGGGAAGTGGCAGATGAAGAGAATGATGAGCAGGAGGAAGAGATGGAGGATGAGCAAGGAGGGCGAGGAGGAGGAATTGCAGCGGCAGGAACAGGAGGAGCAGAAGGAGCAGGAGCAGGAGGAACAGGGGCAACGGGGGAGGAGAAAGGAAGGAGGCGACAGCGACGACACTCGGATCCAGACATGTGGTCCGCGCTGGGGCGAGAGCGCCGTCCTCAACGACGAGAGCGAATCGCCGATCCCGGAATAAGGCCAACGCTGCAGCGGCGACTTCATTTGGAAGGACCTGGAGGGTTCGGATTGGAAAACAAGCATGATAAAACAAAACAACTCGTGTCAACCCTGAGCGAAAAAACATACCCCGAGAGAAAAAGGGCGCACTCCTTTCAGCACGTCGAGGAGACCGAAGACAGGTAGTCTTTGTATTGCGTCATTGCGAACGGGGAGGGGGGGGGGGGGAATTCGCCAGGGACAGAAGGGGGGACGAGAGGGGCATGGGGGCGGTATGGGGAGGGGAAGCGGTGAGACGGAGGGAGTCGGGGCGAGGGAGCAGGCATGGCCGCAGCAGGAGCCAGAGCCAGAGCCATCGAGGTGGTCGTGGTCGTCGTCGTTGATTGTCGTCGTCTGCGCAGTCTAGAAGCTAGAGTCTTCGTCGCCGTCCTCGTCCTCGTTTGCGAGGCGGGGATCTATCCATACCTACCGCCTGGGCCACCCGACGTCATGGGACCCAGCGGGCGGTGGGTGAGCACAGCTGTGGTGTACCAAGGTGTCGTGCCAATGCTGGGCATGGCGATGTTATCTAGGATAGCCGCCAGCGCGTTACATTACAATTTCGACGAAATTGGCTTTGCGTCGACCGCTTCAAACAACATCATAATACATACATAAACTTTACCAAACGACCGCCGTCCAATCTGAGCGGTTCGAATAGACCCATTAGATGGCGCCCAATCGCAAGGCGCGCGATTCCGGAGATTCCAAAATGTCTAACACTCATGTTTGTGATTCGAGAATTTCTGGGACGTCGTTGCGGAATTTCCGGATTCGGGTTTTGTGCTTGGACAATACTGTAAATAAACAAATGGGGCATCCCCATAATTACTTTTCTGGCGATCAAACAAATCCGAAACCACGCTTTTCGCGATTCGGAAATTCCGAAATTGCGTGCTTGGTGATCGGGCGTCCTGGAACATATTTCTGTGCTGCCGATCACAGAGGACTGTGGACGTTTGGGGAAGTTTGAATCAGGAATTCTGATGTTGCTTGAAGCGGTCGGCGCGAAACCAACATTGCCTAAATCGGAATGCAGTGCACTTGCAGCTATCGTTGATCACATCGCCATTTGCAGGATTGGCATCCGCTGGCCCCCGCTTGCCAGGGGTGAGAAGGTGTGTGGGGCATCTGGCGGTCCCCCTCCCCCTTTCCCCCTCCCCCAGGGTCCAAAATCCGATTCGAGGGGGGAGGCCCAGGGAGCGGAGGGTTGGAGATCCCAAAAGCATCCCCAGGGCCTCCGGAGCCTTCAAGGGCCTGAAGACGGCCGAACAGAGCGCCCGAACAGAGCGCCAAGATAGTCCAAGAAAGCGTCGAGATAGCTCAAGGTAGCCCCACAATAATCCAAGATGGCTTCAAAACGGCCCATGAGGCGCCCAAGACGGCCCAAGAATGATCTCCGAGGACCGCTGAGAGGGCCCCGAGACGCAGAAGTTGACACATTCCAATTGAAAAACGTGCATTTTTAGTAATACCTTTTCCGTCTTAACAGCGTCAAAGACGGCCCAAGAGGCTCCCAAGATCGCCCCACCGGCAAATCTGGCCCTCAAGACGGCCCCAAGACGGCCCAAGAGAGCCCCAAGACGGCCCAAAGGGGCCCCCAAGATGGCACAAGAGAGCCCCCCGAGAGCCGCAAGAGGGGCCCAAGAGGGAGAACAAGAACTGACATTTAGAGTTTTCCCCCCGAATGACCCCTAGGTGCCCCCCACCAGGCCCCCAAGAAACCACCAACCCCCCCAGAAGCCACAAAGAGCCCCCCAAGATTCCCCTGAGAAGCATCCCAAGAGCCCCTCATATGCATCCAAGAGGCTCCTGACCCACTGGATAAGCTCCAGAATCGTCGCAAGCTCTCGCTCCTTCTGGAGTCGGCGGAATGGCGGAGGCCACTTGAATGTATTGGCCCAAGGGGGCCCGACTGTACGCGTGCCCACCGCCTGCCGGTGTCCCCGAAGATCGGCCCCCCAGGCGGTGGTCATAGTGAGCATCGTTTCACCGATCCCCATCCGCAGCGGCGTGGCCTGGGCCCCACTGGCGGGTTTACCCCCCAGATGGGCATATAGGTCGTTCCCTTCGGGTTTCCAGGGGTGCATCCCCAACTGGGGTGTCAATTTGGTGGGGGTCTCGAAGGGGATGGGGATGGGGATGGGCATCGGTTAAACGATGCTGACATTGATAAATCCCTGCCTCGTCTTGGTTATCGTCGCAGCGGTCGTGGTCGAAGTCCTCGGGCTTCGGTGGCCTCTGCGCCCCCAGCCCTCCTCCGGGCATCTCTCCCGCCGCCGCGCCGCGTGCCTTCTCCTCGAACGCCGCCGGCGCGCTGACGCACCGGAAGCACGCGTAGATGGACTGCGACGTGTGGTCCTCGGGGTACTCGAGCTCCGACTCCGCCAGCGCGGTTCGCGTGGAGGGGGACCAGTACACGGGCTTGAAGCCGCGGTAGATGTGGCCGCCTCGCACCATCTCCTCCCCGGGCGGCCCACGGCTCGAGGGAGGGCGCCCCCCGCCGCCCTCCCCCCCTCCTCTCTCTTTACCCTCTGCCCCCTCCACACGTCGGCTGGATGAGGCTCGACCTGCGGTCTGGGAGTGGCTGCTCCTTCGCTCTGGATCTGGGAGGATCTCCGATGTACCGAAGCCTCTGGGCCCTCCTCCTCCTCCTCCTCCTCCAAACTTCCCCTTTCTCGCCCTGCGCGCCCTTCCCATTCTCCCCCTGCTCCGCTGATCATGCTCATGGCCTTCCTCCTTGACCCCGTCTTGCCCGGGTCGCGCTCCGGTGCCGTCGACGGGTGGCAGGGTTCCCTTGGAGTTGTCCCGCCGTCGGCCAGAGAGCGCAATCCTTGCATCGGAGTCCGCCAGCAGAGAGCCACTCGAATCCCATTTATGTCGCGGAGCCAACGGCCCACATGTTCTCGATCCCCACTGCACTGCTCGCACCTCTCCCATGTCCCCCCTGCCCTCGCCTCCCCCCCTCTCTTCCGCTTCCTAGATCGATCAACCTGCTCTGCAGCCCATATCCTTTTCATCCTCATCTTCATTCACCATGTCTAACTTAGCATCCGCATCATATTCATCCTCAACCTCACCGTCATCCTCCTCTTATCTTCATCATCCGCATCATCATGCTCATCATCATCATAATCATCATCATCATCATCCTCATCATCATCATCATCATCATCATCATCATCATCATAATCATCATCATCATCATCATCATCATCATCATCATCATCAGCATCAGCATCAGCATCAGCATCAGCATCACCATAATCATCATCATCAGTATCATCCTCATCATCACCATCATCATCATCATCATCATCACCACAGCCACCAACATCACTATCAAAATTACCACCACCATCAACACCAATCAATTTACGATTATTCGCTGTTATCTGCGCGTGTGCTATGCAGCACGTATATCACAAACCCTTGATACAAACCATCTTCGTTTTCGATCGTACCCCCCTTGGGGGTTCATTGCCCCAACCTGCCGCGTGCAGCTGGCGCAGCCCCAGAAACAGGGGAAGGAAGGGAGGAGGGCAGCGACAAAGGGGGAGGGCGAAGGATGGTGCACGAGAGAGATTGGCAAGAGGGAGGTCAGGAACAGAGAAGCGAGCGGCAGAACCAGACGGGCGGGTCGGGAGGGCGGAACCTGACGTGCAGGTCGGGCGGGCAGACCCAGACGGCCAGGTCGAGCGGGCGGGTCGCTGAAGCGTCAATCTAACATGAATCGCAAGAAAGCTTCGGGAGAGAGCTCGACTCCGAAGTAAACCGAAGGAGGTCCAACGCAAGAGCGTGACTCCTGAGTCTGGGAGGCACGGCAACGCAGTAAAACGGTCAGGAAGTACCACGCGAGAGCGCGATGTGGGGACCAATACTTCCCCTGATAAAGAATAGGGTGCGAGCCCAGGGAGGAGCATTTACGTACTCTGAACAACACAATGCACACAGGGCAGGAAGGATCAGCAGTAGCTATTAGTCAACAATGGCAATTCATCAAACATGTGAGACTGGTCGTTCTTATCTGCTCGCGTGTCCTTCCGCGTGTGCATCCCGAACCCTCGATACTCGCCCCTTCTGGTCTTCGATCTTACCCCCCTTGGGGGTACCTCTGCCTTACCTGCCACGTGCAGATGGCGCAGCCCCAAAAACAGGGGAAGGAAGGAGGGCAGGGACAGTGGGAGGGAGAAGGATGGAGCACGAGAGAGCTTGGCAGGAGGGCGGCCAGGAACACGGATGCAAGCGGCAGCACCAGGCGGGCGCGTCGGGCGGGACGGGGCGGGCGGGTCGGCCCAGGCGGCGCAGTCGAGCGGGCGGGGCGCTGCAGTTTCAGCCCTGCGTGGATCGCGAGGAAGCCTCCAGCGATAACGCCATTCGCGAGTACATCGCGGGGAAAAGACAGAGCGAGAGCTTGATTCCTCTATGTTGCGGGCGCGGCGCTTCAACTATTCAAGTGCCTCTCGAGAGCGCGATTCCTGGATATAGCATGAGGAAGTCCCGCGCGAGAGCGTGAATTTGAAAAAATTGCGAGGAGGTACCAGGCAGAAGCCGTTGTTGCAAACGGGGGCCCAACAACACAAGTTAAGGACCAAGACTGCCCCTTCAAAAACAGGGTGTGAGCCCCAGGGGGGAAACTTCAATTGATAACCATAATGGGCACCGCGCAGTGGGGATCAACAATAAGTTATCTGTATCGCCAACACCAACCTCATCAACATCATCAGTATCATCAGCAGCATCATCACCTCCACCTGTCTTATCAGGGCCACCATCACCACCACCATGATCCCCACCACCCTCATCATCATCAGCCGCATCAGCATCAGCATCACCATCATGCTCAGCATTATCCCAATCGTCGTCAGAATCGCCTGCATCAGTCTCATCAGCATCATCGACAATGATATCATCATGGGCTGCAGCATCAGCGTCATTCAGCATTACTGCTCTCATCTGAAAGCGACAGGAGCCACCCTCACACGCACCACGTCACATGATATACGTTCAAAGCTTCTCGCTAGAGCCAGTGGCCGGACGATCGTCGTCAGCTGCATGTGCTCCAAGAGAGGCCCCTAGCAACTTCCGAAGAATGCAACCACCGAGGGCCAGGAACCAATACTATCATATAACCAAAACGTGTGTCATAAACTTCCACCACTTGCTATTACAAACTAGTGCGCACGAAATTGCCTGGGACATTACTCACATCGCCCCATCGCGCACGTGCAACGGCGCAAATCTATTAAACAGAGATTCGCGTGTATAAAGCAAGAAAACAACTGCTGTTGTATAACAAAAACGAATAAAATATGGTCAAACGATTCGCAATCGCCGCCGTGGGGGCATGAGGACTAAGTCCACAAACATTCCCAAAAACTATATCATCATCCTGGTGGGTATGGTGGTGGGTGTTGGGGATGGGTTGTTCTCTCTTGATCATATTGTTAATCCCTATCTAACCCCTGACCGTCCCCGAATCTCGCCACCCCTCCTCCACCTCATCTTCTCCCACCCCCTCCGCCTCCATGCCTGCCCCCAATCTCCTCCCTATGTGTTACTCTCTCCTCCCCAGTCCTCCCTCCTCCTCTTCTGCTCCTTCACCCACCTTTCCTCCCACACATTCTTGCTGAGCATGCTAATCCTCCCTCTTCAACCTCGCTCGCCACCTGCATCCCGCCACCATCCCTCTCCCCCACCGCCCCCCCTCCCCCCCTCACCTCCGCCTTATCGCACCCCCCTGGCCCACATAGCCACGGGGGGAGCGGCCCCCAGGTTCCTCGAAGACTCCCAGTTGCGCGGCTTCGTACTTGGGCAGCAACGTCAGGTAGGGTTCATCGAAGTCCCCCCAGACGCCGTAGCGCTCGAACGACTTCCTCTGCTCCTTGAGCACGGAAGGAGCAGGGGAGAGAGGGCGGGAACATCTAAGCGTCTTCGACGCTACGGGCAAGGGATGGCGAAGAATATGCCCACGCGGGCTCCGTGCGGCCCCCAAGGTGGACGTCCCAGGAGAATAGCAACAGCACGGGACAGAGAAGGGAACGACGCTCGGGACGGGGACGAACCTGGAGCCCGGGGAGGGAGGGAGGGGGATGCGGAAAAGGCTTCAGCGACGATCAGCAGTTCGAGGTGTTGCTTGGTTGGCGGGGAAGGCAACACTAAGAATTCGGCGGGGGCTCCAACGGCCGTCCCTGATGAAAGAGCGAGCTGTGGGGAAGCAGAGGTTGGGGAGGGCGAGGATAATGAGAAAGCGGGAGAAGGGAAGGGGAAAGAGGATGGAGGAGCACGAGGAGGGGCAGCCATCCAGAGTCTTCCTATTCGTCATCTTGCTCTCCCTCCCCCTCCCCCTCCCCCTCCTCCCCCTCCTTCTCCTCCTCCTCATCCTCCTCATCCTCCTCCTCCTCCCCCTCCTCCCCTCCTCCCCCTCCTCCCCCTCCTCCCCCTCCTCCTCCTCCTCCTCCTCCTCCTCCTCCTCCTCCTCCTCCTCCTCCTCCTCTCCTCCTCCCTCGAATCTGGCAGCAGGGTGGACGATCCCATCCAGTCGAGAGCCTTGAGACGGGGGTCCACGCAAACGGGGTTCAGCCGGAGCGCCTCCTCCTCCTCCTCCTCCTCCTCCTCTTCTCCTCCTCTTTCCTCCTCCTCCTCCTCCTCCTCCTCCTCCTCCTCCGTGTGGGGAGCGACATCTGTTGGATCCGAAAGACCCTCCGCGCGTCCCCGGGGGCGCGGCGGGCTCCTGGACCGTCTCCAGCGCAAACTTGGCCGCCACCTCCCGCAACTTCAGCGGCGTCAGCCCTCTCCGCTCCTCTGGGCGGCGCGCGCCGCCCCGCCCAGGGAGGCCCAGGCCCCACCGCGGGCTCGTCCTCCTCCGCTCCCATCCTCCCTTCTCCTACAAATCCCTCCTCCTCCTCTTCTTCTTCCTCCTCCGTACTCCACGATCAACCTTCTCCGCCTCCATACTCCATACTCCGCCTCCTCTGCCTCCTCCGCCTGATCCAACTCCTCCTCCTCCACCTCCTCCTCCTCCTCCTCCTCCTCATCCTCCTCCTCATCATCATCATCATCATCATCATCATCATCATCATCATCATCATCATCATCATCATCATCATCATCATCATCATCATCATCATCATCATCATCATCATCATCATCATCATCATCATCATCATCATCATCATCATCATCATCATCATCATCATCGTAATCATCATCATCATCATCCTCCTCCTCCTCCTCGACCTCCTCATCCTCCTCCTCCTCCTCATCATCATCATCAGCATCAACATCAGCATCAGCATCAGCATCAGCATCAGCATCAGCATCATCATCATCATCATCATCATCATCATCATCATCGTCATCATCATCAACAACATCATCAATACCATCATTACCATCGTCGTCATCATCATCATCATTAACGTCATCATCATCATCATCATCATCACCATCATCACCATCATCATCATCATCATCATCAACATAATCCTCTATCTCCCTCCTCCCCCTCCTCCGCATTCCTCCTCCTCGTCCTCCTTGTCCTCCGTGCCGTCACCCTCTCCTGATCCCCCTCCTCCACCACATCCTCGTCCTCCCCCCTCCTCATAATTGCAACAATGCTCATCATCAGCATCAGCATCCTCATCATCATGAACATCATCAGCATCATCCTCATCACCATTATAATACAGAGCCTCCCCATCCTGATCCTCCTCCTCCTCCTGCTGATAAACTTTCTCCGCCACCTCCTTTCCCTCATCCCCGCCCTCCTCGTCCTCAAACATTGTGTCATCGTCATCATCGTCGAAACTGACGTCGTCGTCTCCGACCTTCTTTGTCTCAATGCGCCCCCTGCTCCCGACCAAGTTCTCACGAATGAGCCCAGCTGTCATCGTCGTGTTGTTTCTCCTTTTCCTCCACCTCGTCCTCCACTGCCGAGTACGCACCTTCATGGCTGCATCCCCATAGGTGTCATCGCCACGGTTCCCAAACCACCATGGCAATCGTACCCAACGCATCCAACTGAACACCCCATCCCTTCTCGCAACCCTCTGCTCCTTGGGCTTCAGCGACTGAAGTACCTTGAGCTCTATGGGCAATCCGTGGCAGTCCCAACCAGGAATGAACTTGCACTTGTAGCCCTGGTACGTCCTGAACTTGTTAATGATGTCCTTGCAATGGTGCTACCGCCACGGCGACGTGTCGGCGCTTGCGTCAAACGATCCGGAAGCCCCCAGAGGATGATCATAGGAACCATCGAACACCTCAGACTCTTTCCTGCAACCCTCTGCAGACATCCGATGTAATGAAATGCGTCGGCGACATTCAAAACCATCCGACCCGTTGGAACACACAACGATCACCGAAACCGAATTGACAACGCACCGATACATCCGAAAACCAAGCGAGTACCAGCCGCGACGACCCTCAAGAGCACCCGAACACACCCGAAATCCGACCAAGAACTAGTCCCCCACCTCTTCCCTGGCCTGTTCCAGGCTTTTCCCTCCTCCTAATCCTCTTGCTGACCCTTTCCTCCTCTTCTGGTGTGTTCGATCCCTTCCCTGCACCTCCCGCCTCCAGCTCTGTCATACTCCTCATCTTCCCGCGTGCCCGTCGTCCCTCGTCATCTCTCTCTCTCTCTCTCTCTCTTGCGTTCTCTATCGCTGTCTACATCGCTGCTGCTTCTCGCAATCTCCATCTGCCTCCTCTTCCTCCTCGCTCGACTCAACCCACCTACATACTCTTATGTTATCCTCGCCTGCTTCTGTTCCAATCAAAGCCTCCGTATTATTATTTGCCCTCCTCGTCACTCGCCGTCTGCTCAGCCTGCTCAGCCACCTGTCCCTACTCCCACTCTTCTTCACACACACACACACTCTCTGTCTCTGGGTATTTTTTTTTGTCTCTCTCTCTCTCTCTCTTTCTCTCTTTGGTTATCCCTTGTGTGTCTCTCTCTCTCTCTCTCTTTCTCCCTCTCTATCTATACAGATACCTAAATGTTGATATTGCTGCTATACGTATAGACATATACATATACGGTTGTTTGGTAAAATACGGCAAATTCGGTCCGCGTTAACACGGCGGCGATCCGATCGCGGGTACTCAACATTGAACGTCGCAGGTGGCCTAGAATCGGCCGATATGGCACGATCTGCGCTGTCGGTAATGCGCGATTGATCTGGGTTGAACGATCCACGAGGTGTCAGAACCCAGCGCCGACGTCATCACGACGTGGACCTGCCGTATATGTATCCGCCGCCGTGCCCTGAGGCACGAGTTTGGAAATCCTACTTCGAATCGTCCGTCCTATGTCCAAAAGGTACAGAATGGGGCCCACAACTAAGGCGGTCCAACAGCGACCCAACTCGCCAGAAGATTGCTCTAAAACGCCCAGGACGGCCTCCACACGTCCATGGAACGAGGTCTACCCCTAATTGGTCCCTGGAGGAACGCTATCAGCACGTTTTACAGGAACAAGTACGACTGACAGCGGCCAAACGATCTCACCGGCCAATTGGGCTGTCCGCTGGCCACATCGGCTCGGGGGGGCTCGCGGTACAGGGGGCCCCTCGTGCTTTGGCATTGTTGCTTCGATGTTCTCACCTGTCCACCGTGCCACCTGGCGTCTGTGTGTGTTGCATAGGTTCAAAAACATTTGAGACCATCTTCCGGTATGTCTGGCTAGCACTGCGCGGATACAAGCTCATCGTATTTTTTGCTGGCCAACGAGGGGCGCTTCCAGCCGTGCAGTTTGGCCCACACCTATATCAATTCAGTTGTTTGTACTTCTCGCGCGTTGCACTTTGATCGAGCCTCGTTGAGACATGATCCCCACGTCCGTCTTTGAACCGAAACCTCGCCCCGCTGTCTTCTCGGTGTCGACTGCTGTCCGCTGTGGAGCTCGACTTTTGTCCATTATGACTCTGCACGCTGTGCTGCCCCGAAGCTTGGCAAAGGTGGTACGTGGCCTGGAGCACTCATTACCCGCCCTCGGTGTTAGTGCGAGTCGTCGTGCCGGCTCCGCTCGCCTTGGAAGTGGGCCTTGGAATGCCGGACAGGTTGCAAGCAAGGTCTTTTTGAGTAGTTCCTGTCAACGCATCCCGGGAACCTCTTGGGCTGTCTTTGTGCTGACTACCTACCAGACCACCCCAACCCAACCCGAAGACCCGAATTTCGGATTGGGGGGGGGGTACGGGTTCCATATGTGTTTTCTCGATGTTCCCCGACCCCCCCCCAACTGGAAATGGAGGGCAAATCGAGACCTTCGGGTTGGGTTGGGGTGGTTTGGTGAGTGGTGATGTGCTGTCTTGGGGACCTCTTGGGCCCGTCTTGGAGCATCGGAGAGCCGACAGAGCAGGAGCACCGCAGCCGCAGGCGGAGCTCTCGGGGCACGACCCGTGCGAGGCGCGTCTCGAGATGGGGCGGGGGGACGACGCACGACGCCGCCCGTTGGTGCCGCAGGTGGAGCTCCTTCCGGGGAATGCTCCGCGTTATAGGGGTGTGCCGCAAGGAGGAAAGACTGGTCTACTCTGTAAGAACGGTTTTTTGAAGGCAGATCTGCCTTCAAAAAACCGTTCTTACAGAGTTTGAAGGCAGATCTGCCTTCAAAAAACCGTTCTTACAGAGTAGACCAGTCTTTCCTCCTTGCAGGGGGGGGGCCGTACAACAACCGCGCCAGAGTTTTGGGCCAGGGGCCTCTCGGACACCCGAAATTCGGGGTCCCATTGCATCCTTCTCGAAAGCTCTGTTGGGCCGTCCTGGGGCCTTCTTCTTCAGGGCCTCTTGAGCCGTCGTGGGGCGAGCTGTGGGGCATCTTGGGCCGTGTTGGACGCCAGAAAGCGAATATGCTGAACATGCATGTTTTCCCGAGAAGGGAATGCGACAATGTTGGTTTCCTTGTGTCCTCTCGCGGAACATCTCGCGGTTTTCTCGGGGCGCTTGGATCGGGCGTTGGCAGAACTGGGTTCAATGGGCCTGGTTTAGTGATCTGTACCGAGGACGCCCCCCCCCGTCCCATTCCACTAACCGGAATTGCTGCCACCCGAAAAAACTCCAGCTGAGGCAAACCTGGTTGAGCGATTCCAATTCATATTTTGGGCTTCGGGGCCCAATCACTAACCGGCTCCCCTTAACCGGGGTCCTGGTTATACCCGATTGGAGCCGTCTTGAAGCAAACTTGGGGCGCCGTCGACGCGGTTGGGCTGCGCTGGTCGCTTTCCTGCGACCTCTGGAAATGCTGCGAGCCGCCGGGGGCCTCGGAGGCCTCGGCAGGAGATGAAACGTGTCGTGGGCCTAAAAAGGGGGGGGGGGAATGACGGAATCTGGGAAGAGTCCCGGCCCAGCCCCCAGTACAGCCGAGCCGAATTAGTAGTTCCACCCTGCCAAATCAAGGGTACAGTCTTGTATCCTCTCGCGTGTCCTCTCCCATCCCCCCCGACTTTGCCCTGGCATTCCGCGGTAGGGCGCGCTCGCGCGACGAAGCCTTGAGGATCTTGTTCATGGCGTGCCCCATGTGCAAGGACCCGTTGGCGTACGGGGGGCCGTCGTGCAGCGTGAAGTCCCCCTTGGGCGCCTCCTCGGCGCGCGCCCCAAGGCCCCCCGCCAACCCTGCCGCGCCCCGCCCCGACCCCACCCCACCCCTCAGCGCGCAGGGTGCCACTCTCCGCCCTTCCACGCCCCCTTTCCGCTTTCCCCCTTCCACTGTCCCCCTCCGCTGCCCCGTCGCCGCCTTTTGCACCCCTTGCCCGCCCCCCATCGTCGCCCTGCTCCGTGTCATCCGCATCATCCCCTCTATGCCAAGATTCCTCCCCTTCCGCCCCCCAATCCCCGTCCTCCTACCCCTCCCCCGTCATCCTCCTCGTTCTCAACCCCCGCGTCCTCCACCATCACCACCATGGGAGTGGGAATGGGACTCGGAAGAGCCGAAGGCCACGACGAACCACCGATTTGAGATGGTTGTAATTCACCAGACTGAAACATGACGGTAGTGGAAAAGCAAGCGCCACGGGGAGAGGCAGGCGAGAGGGGAAAGATCGGGGAAAGGTCCTGAACTCCTGACAGGCCTGAACGATGAATTCGGAAAAACATCTTGTCATTGACTGCGACCGGCGGCGTCGACCCCGCCTGAAAGTCCGAGCCGCAGCGAGATTCGAGGTCGGTTCCGCTTGAAGTTCTGAACGTCGTAATCCACATCCCCAACAGCATTCCACAAGACTGTGGACCAAAACGAGGAAGACGCTAAGGACGAGCTTCATATTGAACGAACGTAGAGCTTTGCAATGCTTTCCGAATCTCCACAACTTTGAATTATGAGCGAGAAAGCTCAGGGCGCGTTCTTGCGAAATCCCTCCCGCAAACGGTCAGGGTCAGGCTGTCGCCGCGAAGTCAACTTCCCACGACTCGGCCCCAAAGAGAGATACTGGTGTTTTTCGCACCGCACCGTACCGCCACCTTGGGCTGCGCCGCCTTGCGTGACGCAGCTTCCGCAGACACGCTGTGGCTGCGGCTAAGGGCGAAAGCGATATTGGCGCGTTCGATCTGAAGGTCTTTCTTTTGCGCGGGCTTCGGTCGGCAGTGGAGCGCGACCTCCTGCATCTCGACGGCCGCATTGCCCTCCGCCGCTTGTGCCCAGCACTGTTTGAGATGGTCTGCATCGGGCGCGCGAGAACGCCTTTGGCCATTCCCTGCAGCATCTGTGCGAACGCGCGAGCGTAGGGCACGCAGGGTGCGTTCAGCTCCTCCCGATAGCCCCGCAGCCCCTTCACCTCCACGCGTTAAGATGTTCCTGCCGCCCTCGTTGCCAAGCACATGGGGCGCGCCGAGAGAGGCGCGACTGTCTCCCATCGAGCCCCCGCTAACCTCTGAGCTCCACCGCGCAGGTGAGTGCGAGGCGCGCGAGGATGATGGCGGGCCTCGCTGCCGTCTGTTCTTCTGATGATCCCGCGATGCCCTCGGCGGCACGCGCGCCTGCGCCGCGGGGCTCGCGCGCGCCCTCGACTCGAAGTCCCCATGTGGGCGCCGACAGCCCGAGAGACATCGCCTCGCAAAACTGGGAATTAACGAGGGGAGCGTTTGCGGGCGCTCCTGCAGCCCCGGAAACTCGTCCGCAGCCAATGAGCACAAGCGACGCCGGCACAAATCTGGATGCACAGGGGGCCCCAGGCAACAAACACCGAGCGGAATTCCCGGTCGGCTAACTTGACTGGACACAGCCACGAGGAGCACTGCACGCAAGACTGGGACGCGCACGGCCGGCGCGAAGCGCCTCAGATGTCCGGCCTGACACTTCGCCGTCGGGGACCAGGCAAAGCTCGAGCGAAGCGTGGGCGTGGAGAGCGGGAATGCGCCTTGACCCGAGGGAGCTGCAGAGAAGAAGGGAAGAGAGGACGGGCGCCGAGGAAGGGAACGGGATGGGACGTGCCTCTCGGGATTTAAACCCACGGTTTTGCTCAAACCTACGAGTTGAATCCCCAGTCAGTGACCTCAACTGGACACAGCCACGAGGAGCACCACACGCAAGACTGGGACGTGGACGGCTGGCGCGAAGCGCCTCAGATGCGCGAGGCGCTCCTCGATGTGTATTATATATATGTGTATATATATATATATATCAGCATCACGCTGAACACTTCTGGCACTGATGCCGGCGCCGACGCCCAAATCTCTCCTCTCGGCGGCGAGCTCGGGGGGGAAAGGCGAAGGGGCGGGCCTTCTCAAGGTCTCGGAAGCTCCCCGTCCTTCTGCGGGTTTCGAAGACTTCCCCGAGGGCTTCTGAGACCTCCCGCCGCGTTCTGAGAAGGCCTTCTCCTTCGCATTTCCCCCATCGCTCGCCGCCGATCCTCCCCCCCCCCTGGCGAGGCCTCGCTCTTTTCGGGTTCAGCTCCCGTGAGGAGGCTGAGTCTCTCGGAGCATGTGCGCTGGAGCGCAAGCGGCAGGCTGGTCCACCCTCCGAGCACCGACCGTGACACCAAACTCGCTTGGAAGTGTTGTCAGTTGATGCATGCGGTTGCACCGTGGCTGTTGCCGAGCTCCACCCCCTCCTTCCACCTCCTCCCGCTGTCCTTCTCGAGGAGCTGCTGGTATATGCGCTCCTCCTGCCAGAACTCCTGGAGCTGCGGCTCCCGCTTCTTCGCGTCGGCGCGCATGGGAAATTCCGTCGAGGGCAAGATCACGGTGTCCTCACCGAGTCTCTGGGGCTCGCCACGAGTACGGGCGCAGAGGCCCAGGTTCCTCCTCCTCCTCCTCCTCCTCCTCCTCACCCTGCTCCTCCACAATCATCTTTCTCTCTCATCCTCCATCTCCTTCTTTCTGAACGTTCCCTCGCACCTCTCCTCCCTCCTCCTCCTACTCCGTCCTCCTCCTCCCCGTACTCATCCTCCTCCTCAGTGACACATGTTTTCGAAGCGAAGGGTGGCACCCAAGGACGGAAACCCTGCCTAGATATCTTTCTCTACCCCCTCATCCCCCATCAGCTCGTCCCAAGCGATGCGCCTCGCTTTATGCAACGAAACACGGCACTTGCGTAACCACCTTCGCCAGCCACTGGCACCGACACCCCATGGCTACTCAACGTGACCCCAACACGACCATGCCAGTCAGGCCTCACCCGTAGCGCAACTGCCCCACCCCACTTAGATAGGGCTTTCTCAAAACTAGGGCGCCAATCCTGTCCCCCAGGTGGAGTATGTGCGTAAGCAGCTGGGCCAAAGCACGCCAAGCATGCACACAAAGCCACCAACGCAAACAACCAACTGTTGCCCTACAATATGCCAAAATACACGGAATGTGCCTTGACCCTAGACTCTAGACCTGTTCCGTCATTAAAAGTCAACCCAGAAGCATCTCCCAATGCAAATTGATTGTCGTTCAGCCCTATCGCGTTCCCGTCCAACACACTTCATACACAATACTGGCACGTCCCTCATTTCCAGGAGAATCCCCGACATCTCCAGGCTTCAGGATGCTCCCCCAAACCAACCGCTTGAAAGGTACTCCAAAGATCCCTTCCACAGAACCCAAATCCGCCGATCCGGAGTGTGAGTTTCTAAGAGCGTGGACTTGAGCTCGCTCAAGCTTTGCTCTGCAGGGGGGGGGGGTGCGTACGTTATTTCCGGCGTCATTTCCGACGTTTTTCGGTACCTGGGGATATGTCCGACGTCATTTCCTACGTTTTTCGGTACCCGGGGACAGGGGGGTATAGAAAACTCCACTTCCGGAGCCCCGACCGCCCAAGACAGCCCAAGAGGAAGCCAAGAGAGGCCCCAGAGGCCCCCTAGACAATGCAAGAGGTCCCCGAATCGCCGAAACATCGCTCGAACCGCCCAAGATGCCCCGAAGACAGTTCCAGAAACCTCCAAGACGTCCCCAGGATCCCTCACGACACTTCCCAAGAATGCCCAAAGACTGACAAATAGACCCATTCCTTTTTGGGAAAACCTATATTTTCGGCATATTCGATTCTTGGGCCTTCACAATGTCCAAGACAGCCCCAGAGCTCCCTAAGACACGCCAACAGGCCCCCAAGAGGACTCCAAGACGGCCCCAGAAGGGCCCAAGACGGCCCAGGAGCGCCACAAGACGACCCAAGTCCAGAGCCCAGACCGCACAAGACGGCCCCCCGGATCGGCGGCACTGGCCGGAGGCCAGCCCAATAAAAACCCAAATGACCCAAATGTCGATTATGTGTACCAGGTCAACCCTGGTGGACCAACGACGCCCACCTCCTCGCTCTCAAAACGAGCTAGGACGCGAGCTATCTGACGAGGGCTTCCACATTAGCTTTGTATCATCAATTCCCGCCATCTCTCTCCACTTATGGTATGCAACTTCAAGAACACATCAGACTTGCTCGCGGATGCTGAATGCTGCTGGACTTCTTGTAGAAATTCACCAATGTCGGCACCTACATTTCGCAAGATGCTCACCTTACTCTCGGCAAGACCGCCCATAATTTGCAGATGTGCTGCGCCTTCCTGAATTATTTGACAGTGTTACGTACAGAGAGACAGTGCGGTTCTCTCTAGTGGCGATGGCGTGTTGCACGCACAGCTGCAATTCGGTCCAAAGGTTGCAATTGATTGCACACGCACGTCATGCTGCAGAGGTTCCTGCTGCTTCGTCTGCAAAAATGGCACAGCAACATCCCGCGCTGCCTTGTCCGCAAGTGATGCTTCTTCATCGCAACTGTTTATTTCGTAGTGGTTGTAATCCAGGTACCGTCGCGCGAGCTCTTGAGCAGAGGCGACCGCCCCGAACAACAGTACCCATGAACTTAGAAACGCGGCGTGGAAATGCCGAGCGCACCACATTGACGCAAAGGTCTCAGAAATGAGGTACCAAGAGACAAATCCAGAGCACGAGGCACTGCAGAGGAGCCCAAGGTGGTGATGGCCCAAACGACTGCGACCCCTTGAACAGCGCCTCTGGGCTGAGGTCATGCCGTCATGCCATGTTCACGCGCTCTGTTTCAAGCGTCTTCTCGAGACGGGTCGGTCATCTCTGGGTGAGGGAGGG